AGGGGTTTGGGGGGAACCACCCACAGGATGGGTATGTGGTGACTACCGGCCACAGGATGGGTAGGGGTGACTACCACCCACAGGATGGGTATGTGTTGTCTAACCACCCACAGGATGGGAATGTGGTGACTACCACCCACAGGATTTGTATGTGGTGACTACCACCACAGGATGGGTATGTGGTGACTCCCACCCACAGGATGGGTATGTGGTGACTACCACCCACAGGAGGGGTATGTGGTGACTACCACCCACGGGATGGGTATGTGGTGACTCCCAAACCCCAGGATGGTATGTGGTGACTACCACCCACAGGATGGGTATGTGGTGACTACCACCCCACAGGATGGGTATGTGGTGACTACCACCCACAGGATGGGTATGTGGTGACTACCACCCACAGGATGGGTATGTGGTGACTACCACCCACAGGATGGGTAATGTGGTGACTACCACCCACAGGATGGGTATGTGGTGACTACCACCCACAGGATGGGTATGTGGTGACTACCACCCACAGGATGGGTATGTGGTGACTACCACCCACAGGATGGGTATGTGGTGACTCCCGGGCCACAGGATGGGTATGTGGTGACTACCACCCACAGGATGGGTATGTGGTGACTACCACCCACAGGATGGGTATGTGGTGACTACCACCCACAGGATGGGTATGTGGTGACTACCACCCACAGGATGGGTATGTGGTGACTACCACCCACAGGATGGGTATGTGGTGACTACCACCCACAGGATGGGTAATGGTGACTACCACCCACAGGATGGGTATGTGGTGACTACCACCCACAGGATGGGTATGTGGTGACTACCACCCACAGGATGGGTATGTGGTGACTACCACCCACAGGATGGGTATGTGGTGACTACCACGCACAGGATGGGTATGTGGTGACTACCGGCCACAGGATGGGTATGTGGTGACTACCACCCACAGGATGGGTATGTGGTGACTACCACCCACAGGATGGGTATGTGGTGCATAATAAACATATTAAACTAACAACAGGTAAACCAGCTTTTAATTAAATAATCTTTAAGTCAGTTTATTTAGACACAGCCTGTTATGGGGGCCCTGAAGCTGGAACTGTTATGGGGGCCCTGAAGCTGGAACTGTTATGGGGGCCCTGAAGCTTGAACTGTTATGGGGGCCCTGAAGCTGGAACTGTTATGGGGCCCTGAAGCTGGAACTGTTATGGGGGCCCTGAAGCTTGAACTGTTATGGGGGCCCTGAAGCTGGAACTGTTATGGGGGCCCTGAAGCTGGAACTGTTATGGGGCCCTGAAGCTGGAACTGTTATGGGGCCCTGAAGCTTGAACTGTTATGGAGGCCCTGAAGCTGGAACTGTTATGGGGGCCCTGAAGCTTGAACTGTTATGGGGCCCTGAAGCTTGAACTGTTATGGGGGCCCTGAAGCTGGAACTGTTATGGGGCCCTGAAGCTGGAACTGTTATGGGGCCCTGAAGCTTGAACTGTTATGGGGGCCCTGAAGCTGGAACTGTTATGGGGCCCTGAAGCTTGAACTGTTATGGAGGCCCTGAAGCGGGGAACTGTTATGGGGGCCCTGAAGCTTGAACTGTTATGGGGGCCCTGAAGCTTGAACTGTTATGGGGGCCCTGAAGCTTGAACTGTTATGGGGGCCCTGAATCTGGAACTGTTATGGGGGCCCTGAAGCTGGAACTGTTATGGGGCCCTGAAGCTTGAACTGTTATGGAGGCCCTGAAGCTGGAGCTGTTATGGGGGCCCTGAAGCTTGAACTGTTATGGGGCCCTGAAGCTTGAACTGTTATGGGGGCCCTGAAGCTGGAACTGTTATGGGGGCCCTGAAGCTGGAACTGTTATGGGGGCCCTGAAGCTGGAACTGTTATGGGGGCCCTGAAGCTTGAACTGTTATGGGGGCCCTGAAGCTTGAAACTGTTATGGGGCCCTGAAGCTTGAACTGTTATGGGGGCCCTGAAGCTGGAACTGTTATGGGGGCCCTGAAGCTGGAACTGTTATGGGGCCCTGAAGCTTGAACTGTTATGGAGGCCCTGAAGCTGGAACTGTTATGGGGGCCCTGAAGCTTGAACTGTTATGGGGCCCTGAAGCTTGAACTGTTATGGGGGCCCTGAAGCTGGAACTGTTATGGGGGCCCTGAAGCTGGAACTGTTATGGGGCCCTGAAGCTTGAACTGTTATGGGGGCCCTGAAGCTGGAACTGTTATGGGGGCCCTGAAGCTTGAACTGTTATGGGGGCCCTGAAGCTTGAACTGTTATGGAGGCCCTGAAGCTTGAACTGTTATGGGGGCCCTGAAGCTGGAACTGTTATGGAGGCCCTGAAGCTGGAACTGTTATGGGGGCCCTGAAGCTTGAACTGTTATGGGGCCCTGAAGCTGGAACTGTTATGGGGGCCCTGAAGCTTGAACTGTTATGGAGGCCCTGAAGCTGGAACTGTTATGGGGGCCCTGAAGCTTGAACTGTTATGGGGGCCCTGAAGCTGGAACTATTATGGGGCCCCTGAAGCTTGAACTGTTATGGGGTCCCTAATCCCGGAGAGATTAGGGGCCCTGAAGCTACTCCTTCAATACTCTGATATTATTATTATTTATTATTAAATATTCGCCGGTATTCTCCCGGCCCGGGCCTTTTCCAAGTGGTGGCCCGGCCTTGGCTCCCTCTTTAGGGAGTGTCTGAGACCTAAGTCTCCCATGGGAGGAGGCACAAGTACCTCCTCATCTTTGGGACCAACTGTCCCCAGACCTAGCCACAAGCTAGGCCTCTCTGGTCTGTCATCCCCGCCCCAAGGGGGCTGTGGAAAATTTTTTGATTTTCCGAAACTATAGTGCCTAATAGGTGTTTAATGTGTCTATATGGGTCAAAAATGTATTTGAAAATAAGAGTAGAACCAAGAGTTCCCTTTGCGCATGCGCGGATGTGCGGGGGGGAGGGCGCGTATTGTTTTGAATGGTGGTGAGGAAGCTGAGAAAACATGGAACCACGAAATTGACGTTCACGGTGGCCTAAGGATTAATATAGGCCTCATTTCATAATAAGAAGTTGTCGTAATTGTTCCTGGTGGAGAGTGAGGGAAGGGGATTTAGGGGACCACAGAAATTTAGAGTGGTAAAAGGTGTGAAAAGAGAAGGAGCGGGTGACTGACGCGCCCAATGGACTGTGTCCTGGGAAAATTACCCTTGGATTAATCATCACTCATGGGTCTCAGATCTTAATGGAGTGACCTCTGTTTGTATAATAGTTATGAGACGTTA